TGCGGGACCCTCGATGGCTCCAGAAACCCCAGGCAGCTCCGGGATCCCTGGACGGCTCTGGAACTCCCTGAGCGCCCTGGGACCTTCGACGCCTCCAGGATCCCCGATAGCTGCGAGACCCTCCGAGTCTGCAGGACCCCCAAGGACTCGACGGCACCGGGGCCCACGGACAGTTCTGGGACCCCACGGGTCTGTGGGACACCCTCCCTACCCCCAACGGTTGTGAACCCCTCAAAGGTTCGAGACTCCCTCCCCATGGCTACGGGACTGTCATTGCTGCAAGGAATCTTCCCCAGGGACCCCAGGATCCCCATCCCGGGGAGGCTGCGGGAGGCTGAGAAATTAGGGATCCCCTGACGGCTGCAGGATCCCCTTCCAAACGTCTGCAGGACCCCTGGAAGCTGCAAGGGCCCCAGACCCTTTGCCAGTCTTGCAGCTACCCAGTGTCCTGGACTCATAGATGTCCTGGACTTGCTAGAAATCCCACAGCTTCTCAGGCTCTCCAGGACCTCTTTGAGGTCCCAGAGCCTCCAAGCATCCCAAACCCATCCACTATCCCAGCATGGAGGGCCCAACATGGGCTGGGGGTCAGGGTCTCTGCGGTAGCTGAAGAACCCCCAAAAGGTGCTGGACCACAGCAAGTCCAGGATCATCAAGCCCACTGAAGGATCCCAAATGGATCCAGGACCTCAATGGGTCTAGGACTCGGTGGGTGATTACAGGACCACAAGTGGGTGACTGCAGAATGGGGTCGTGCCAGAGCCCAGGAAACTGGGAAAATGCTGCAGGATGGGGCCCGGGTTTGAAACTCCCATCCAGGTTCCTTCTCCCTCTTTGGGCTGGCGACCCAGAAGGGGAAGCATTTTTAAACCCCCCTCTCCACGGACACACTCACCATCCTTTCCATTCCTCCCACATCTGCATCGCCCGTTGTTTGGGGTTCACCCCCCTGCAACCTTTTCCTCTTTGGTAGGTCAAATCATTATGAGGATGAAGCTGCTTTCGTTTTTCCATGACATCTGCCCTTTGCCTTGCTTCGTTATCTGCTTCCTGATGCTCTGCATTCCTGAGTTGGAGGCAGGTAGGACTCTGCGCGTTTGCTGCGGGTTGGCTGCATCCTTTGCAATTTAAATCCATTTAAACACCAAAGGTGCTGAGGAATTCAGCAGGTCATGGCTTTATGGCGGTCTCATAAAGATTTAAAAATTCTGAAACAGATTTAATTTGGGCAGATGTCTGAGGGAGGAAGAGGGAGATACCATGTCCCCTTGCATTCTTCCTCAGTTTGCACCTTCTCCAGCCTGCTACCATGATGGTTCATGGTAGACCACCGCATGGACCACAGTGGTTCGTGTTGGACTAGAGGGACCATGCTGGTTCACAGTAGACCACAGGGCCCATAGTCGTTCATGGTTGACTGCAGGGACTGTGGTTGTTCATGGAATCCCACATGGACGGTGGTGGTGAAGAGCAGCGTGCTTGAACCATGATGGTTCATGGTGGGCCGTAGGGACCATTGCGCATCTAATGGCACCCTCTTGAGTTCTGCGTTAAGCATGAGAGGTTGTGAAGGTGCCAGGCTGGAATTGAAGGTGGCAGGTTTGTAACCCGAGGCTACGTGGTCTCAGAGGGAGAACTCTTGAAATTTAATTGACTTTGGCCTTCCATAAAGCTTCCTGCGACTTTTAGGAGGGAGCATCTGCTTGGGCTCAGCCAAGACAACCCTCTGGGGTTCTTTTGCAAGAGGGCCCCGGGCAGATGCAGGTGTCAAATACCTCATTCAGGACTGAGCAGATTTTTAGTCATTTCAACTCTTTATCTGCAGGATCATATTGAGGTGGTGGGGTGATATTAGTGGAAGTTTTGCTCCATTTCAAGGGGG